GGTATTTATATCAACTTGTAGAGTTACACAAGTGCAAGCTATAACAACAGATGCTTCCAAACCTGAATGCTTAATGTGCCCTCTAACATCGATAGTTAAGTAGAAAATACCAAAATTTCCCACACCAGTGTTTTCAACTGTGAGGTAAGCATCAGAATCACCTATGGATCTTTTGAAAATGACCAATACAGGTTGAGTATCCTTATCCGAATGCTCGGGACTAGAATCGTTTCACATTTCAGGTATTTTCCAATTTGAGAACATTCTCAAAAATATAATGCGATATCCTGGGGGTGGGACCCACGTCTAAACACAAAATTCATTTATGTTTTCTTATACCCTTATAAGGTGTGAAAGTAATTTTATAAAACGCTTTTAACAATTTTGTGCATAAAACAAAGCTTGTGTTCAGTACTTATGTGTGGAATTTTCCACTTGTGGCATCACACTGGCACTCAAAGTGTTGGATTTTGGAGCATTTCGAATTTTGGTAGGAATGCTCAACCTGTACCAGGGCCTCTTTCCAATACACTAACTTAGAATCTCCTAGGTGGTGTAGACATGTATATGCTTTTAAAGTGTCATAATGATACAGCTGTAAACCCCTGGGTAGGAGGAACTACTGTTCTATCATAATATTTACAACTCAATGCTACTCAAAACGTGGTCCACGGATGAATGCAGTGAATGTTCACTACCAGTTCAGAGCACGTATAGCAATGTGAAGAGGTAGATTTAAGACTTTTAAAGCAATTTGGTAGTAATTTTATATCTACTGAATCTTTTTTTTTTTTTTTTTTGAGATGGAGTCTCGCTCTGTCACCCAGGCTAGAGTGCAGTGGCGCGATCTCAGCTCACTGCAACCACCACCTCCCAGGTTCAAGCAATTCTTCTATCTCAGCCTCTCGAGTAGCTGAGACTACAGGCATATGCCACCACGCCCGGCTAATGTTTGTATTATTAGTAGAGACAGGGAATCGGGAAAAATAAAAAAGTAGGTTTGTAACTTTACTTTGAACTTGTGGACACGCACGGTGGCTCACGCCTGTAATCTCAGCACTTTAGGAGGCCACCTGAGGTCAGGAGTTTGAGACCAGCCTGGCCAATGTGGTGAAACCCTATCTCTAATAAAAATTCAAAAATTAGCCAGGCGTGGTAGTGCATGCCTGTAATCCCAGCTACTCGGGAGGCTGAGGCACGAGAACTGCTTGAACCGGGATGCAGAAGTTGCAGTGAGCCGAGATCGCACCACTGCACTTCAGCCTGGGTGACAGAGTAAGACTCTGTCTCATCAAAAAAAGAAAAAAAAAAAAAATTAATTGAACTTGCAACTTTGCTTTTTTTAGTATTCACTTTATTTTTATAGTAATTCATTTTTTATTGTATTTTATGAAATTATCACTTTCCAACAAATTGGAAATTTAAGCACTACTCTCAAAACCTATGTATATCTTTAACATGCTATACTTTTATCTTTCATCTTAGCATGTCACTAAAGGAACTAGAAAGCATGACATCTAAATCTTAAAAACCCAAATATAAAGTTATGGTAGAAATGAACATTTAGTCAGCAAACGAAAAAACATCCAAATGATCTGGATAATAAAACAGGAAACAGGTCAATTCAATGTAAGTATTTATTCGGGGCCACTCACGTACTAAACACTAAGGAGAATTCAGTAACAGCACAACACATGAGGACACAGACTGTATTTTAAGGATTCAGAGTAACGTTAAATTATATAATATTTACTACCAGCACTGTAAAGCAAAGATAAATAAATTCCAAAGCAGCCATTTCAAACTAAAAAAACCCAAAAACATTTATAAAGCAATTATACATAAATTATATTTAATATTGTTTTTCCATGGAAAATCAAGCACATGCCAATACAACAAACATTAGGCTTCATAAAATCAGAAATTATAAGCAACAGATGCCTAAAGATATTTTATACAAAAACTTTTTCTCCTTTTGGAAAGAAAAAATTATACTTCACACAGGTTGGTTTATATAATGTAAACTTAATAGAAAACCTTATAAAGTTCTTATTAAATAAGGGATATCAAACTGAGTCGAAAATTATTAAATTCATCACTTTTTCAACATTTTTGTAGATCTGAATACACCTCGATTTATACTCTAACTCTAAAAACATACCTAAATACATTACAGTGAAGTACGTATGAAGTAACTGTGATCACATTTACCTCTTTTTGTTGCAGTTGATTTCGATAACTTGTAGACTGTTGCTTTATTTGAATCTCTGATGCTTCATGTTTCTCTTCTAGATCAGTACAAAGTTTCTTAAGCCTTTCATTCTAGAAAAAAAAAAGTATTTTCAACAAAAAGACTGCAAGTAAAACATGTAATTAGTTTTGTGCATGGCTTTATGAAAAACGTACTGCTTCCCCCCCAAAAAATGTCAAATATAAAAGGTCTCGGACAGAATTCTGGACTTCAAAATATGCTTTTAAATTAAAGTTAAAAATGCACTGACCAGCCAGGCACGGTGCCTCACGCCTGCAATCCCAGCACTTCGGGAGGCCAAGGCAGGCAGATCATGAGGTCAGGAAATCGAGACTATCCTGGCCAACATGGTGAAACCCCCATCTCTACTAAAATACAAAAAAAAATTAGCCGGGCATGGTAGTGCACACCTATAATCCCAGCAACTCAGGAGGCTGAGGCAGGGGAATTGCTTGAACCTGGGAGGCAGAGGTTGCAGTGAGCCGAGATCATGCCACTGCCTTGCAGTCTGGTGACAGAGCGAGACTCCGTCTCAAAAAAAAAGAAAAAAAAATACACTGACCATGTTTATATAGAATATGCATAATTCTAAACCAAACAGTGAAATAGTAACATTTTGCTCAGATTGATTTTCTGTTAAGGCCACTAATCAATGTTTCCCCAACTTTGTCTACCCAGTTCTAGCATACAGTAGTCAATACATATCTAGTAAATACATGGATTACATGTTTTGAGTTTTTGTTTTCTCCCCAAACAGAACTTTTTTTAAAAGAAATCCTTCTGGGTGAAGTACAGGGAGGAGCTAAAATCTCACATCGTTTGCTTGTCCTTCAGAGTCCCTGAAGGACCTCTGAAAAATCCAATTTGAAAACCACTACTAGAACTGCTTGAAAAAAGTTCAAAGTATACAAAATAGCCTAATTCAATGAATCTAGACATCACACACTGTCTTTTAAGATGTTGAAAAACATGAAAAAAATTACTCAAATTGTATGTACCTAAATATTAAATTATCTTAACCTATTATCATTCCTTATTTGAATGAAATAAGAAGAATATAATGGGGCAAGAGAAATGGACACTAAAACTATCTACAAAAAAGAATTTACAAATCACTGCAGATAACAATTTACTAAGCATTCTACTAATATACCCACAAACACAGTTTAACAACAATGAATGAGAAAAACGAGACTGATGGTGAGAAAGAAAGCTCTTGCTAAAAGGTGAAGACTTTTTCACTTTGGGGATGTCATTTGTTTTCTTCTTAGATTCTAGGAACTTCTGATGTCAACAGATGTGAAAATAATGATCCAGGAAGATTACATAAATTCGCAGAGAAAATCAATGGAATAATCAAAGGAATAATTACAAAATCCACAAATCCTAGTTTGGGACTCTATCCCCAGAAATCTAACACAGACCTTAATTATCCGGAAGAACTAGTAGTAAGAAACAGGACCAATGGTCACAACAGCTGATTACTTTCTATTCTATTGGCTGCTTTTGCATGATTTTCTGTAAGCTGTTAATAAGAAAAACACCATATATAACTTAGCAATATAATATACTGAAGTCAAACCCTGGTTATAAAAGATCACTTCAGGGTTTTTTTCCACACAAAAATACCTAAGGCTATTTATTTAACTCTGATTAATAAACAGAACTTTAAAACTTTGAATATGGTCAGTATCTACTTGGTTGTCTGCCCTCATCTCCATAGCCATATGAGAGTCAGAAAGATTGAGAAAAGGCTAGGCACGGTGGCTCATGCCTGTAATCTTAGCACTTAGGGAGGCTGAGGCAGGAGGATCACTTGAGCCCAGGCATTCAAGACCAGCCTGGGCAACATAAGGAACAAAAACTACAAATAGAAAAATTAGCTGGGTGTGTTGGCTTGCACCCATAGTCCCAGCTACTCAGGAGGCTGATGAGGGAAGACTGCTTGAGCCTGAGAGGTCATGGCTGCCGGAAGCCATGATCACACCACTGCACTCCAACTTGGGTGACAGAGCAAGACCCTGTCTCAAAAGAAAAAGAAAGGCTGAGAGAGCAAATGAAGGACAGTTTCTCTTCATGTGGCTGAATCCATAAAATATGAAGAGAGTTGCCAGAGATAATATTTTCTATTATATGGAATATGGAACAGAGGGGGCTGGTCTAAAAGGAGAAAAGAATAAATGCATGGAAAGAAGACAAGAGAGTACAAATGAAAAGAGAGACAGACTCCTGATGGCCTCCAGGTCTAGCTGCAGTCCCTCTAAACTCTGACTACATTTCTGCTGTTGAGTCCATAGGACACTCATATCTTAAAATATTCTGTCCTACTTAATCCTTGGTTACACCATTAGGGTCCACAGAAATCACTTTAATTTCTTTTTTAGGCAGTCCTAACTATTTGTAAAACTTATTCTTTCTGAGAGGTCTACCAACAAAGAGAAAATTTACTTAATTTCAAAAATAGAATAAAGCATTCTATCTTACAATTACCATAAGGATACCGTGGATCCTTTTATAAATCTAACAAAAATCATGAGATCATAATCAACTTGTATTTTCTGTATCTTAAAACATTTTGCTCTCTTACTATCACGGCAATTTTAAAAAAACATTTAAAAACTTATTCCCAACTATTTTAAAAATGACAATAAGAAAACGGAAAACCTATGAAATCACCTAGGAGAATGATACAATGGTAAAATAACCAGTTTTCTGACGGCATTGCCCAAAGTATTACATCTTTTTTTTCTTTTTTTTTTTGAGACAGAGTCTCACTCTGTCGCCCAGGCTGGAAGGTACTGGCACAATCTCAGCACACTGCAATCGGGCTGGAGTGTAGTGGTACAATCTCAGCTCACTGCAACCTCTGCCTCCCAGGTTCAAGCGATTCTCCTGCCTCAGCCTCCTGAATAGCTGGGATTACAGGTACACACCACCACGCCTGGCTAACTTTTGTATTTTTTGTACAGATGGCGTTTCACCACGTTGGTCAGGCTGGTCTCAAACTCTTGACCTCGTGATCCGCCCGCCTCAGCCTCCCAAAGTGCTGGGATTACAGGCGTGAGCCACCACACCTGGCCTATATCAACTTTTTAAAAGAAAACAGCTGTCTACAGACACCACTTTTTGCAGTTGTTTTTTTGTCTCTTTCATTGAAGACAGCTAAAAACTCAGAATTTTTAATTATTTGAGGAAGAGAAGAAAACTGACAAAGGTAAACATTTCACAATTATCAGACAACTCAGAAGATGAATGCAAAGAGACAGAGAGCAGCATCCTAGAGTCTAATGGTTATGGTGAAATGGACTGTAGAAGTGAAATCTTATACAAATCTTCAGATGGCAATATCCTGGATGAATTTTCTGAAAGTCAAGAATTGATGAGTGAACAATATATTTCTAAGAACAAAAAAGAAATATGGCTTTCACATCATTCAACAGGAAAATACTTTACTCTGCATTGTTTTGTGACAAGGACCTATACCATTTCATTTTGCTAAGCAGGTATGTGACAGTATTATTTATTTATTTTGAAACTGAGTCTTGCTCTTGTTGTCCAGGCTGGAGTGCAATGGCGAGATCTCGGCTCACTGCAACCTCCACCTCCCAGGTTCAATGATTCTCCTGCCTCAGCCTCCCCAGCAGCTGAGATTACAGGCATGTGCCACCACACCCAGCGAATTTTGTATTTTTAGTAGAGACGGGGTATCTCCATGTTGGTCAAGCTGGTCTCCAACTCACATGATCCACCCGCCTCAGCCTCCAAAGTGCTGGGATTACAGGCGTGAGCCACCGCGCCTGTCCACGTGACAGTGTTCTTTCATCATGTATATTTGTACACCAACATTTACTTGATATGTTCATATGTAGAAGGCTAAAGGCAGGTGTGTATACAAAAGCAACTGGGAGGAAACAGATGACACAGAAATGAAAAAAGCTCAGTGGACTGACCATTCTAATTGGCATTTATAAATCTAAGAATAAACATGCTTTGTAATTATGGAGCAAAGATGACAGCCATTATCTCTTCAATAAAATCATGAGCCATTACAATTTTCAAAAGTATTCATTTTAATGACACAATCAAGAACCAGGCTGGGCATGGTGGCTCATGCCTGTAATCCCAGCACTTTCAGAGGCCAAGGTGGAAAGACTGCTTGAAGCCAGGAGTTTGAGACCAGCCTGGTCAACAGAACAAGACATGGTCTCCACAAAAAAATTTATTTATTTATTTACTTACTTACTTATTTATTGGAGACGGAGTATTGCTTAGGCTGGAGTGCAGTGGTGTGGTCTCGGCTCACTGCAACCTCTGCCTCCTGGGTTCAAGTGATTCTCCTGCCTCAGCCTCCCAAGTAGCTGGGATTATAGGCGCCCGCCACCATATCTAGCTAATTTTTGTATTTTTAGTAGAGACGGGGTTTCACCATGTTGACCAAGCTGACCTCAAGTGATCTGACCACCTCAGCCTCCCAAAGTGCTGGGATTATAGGCATGAGCCACCGTGCCCAGCCTATTACAAAAAAATTTTAAAAATTAGCTGGGTGTGGTGTCGCATGCCTGTGGTCCCAGCTATTCAAGAGGCTGAAGCAGAAGGATCGGTTGAGCCCAGAAGTTTAAGGTTGCAGTGAACTATGATTGTGCCACTGTACTCCAGCCTGGGCAAAAAAGCAAGACCCTGTCTCACAACAAGCACCACAACAAAAATAACTAGAAGTAGTAATAACCTGAAATCTATTAGGGAGGTAACTGAAATTTGGAATCAATATTTTATTTTATGAGATAAAGATATTCCATGTTATGCAATTAAAGGTTAAAAAGCAGTTAACTGAATTCAAAGAACATTGGTTACTTTGAGTCTTTAAGGTTTCAAAACCAGAAAAAAATTACATAAAAATTTGGATTTGCTGTATTTAAATTATTAAAATGTCCTTTTCTTTTTTTGATACAAGGTCTTACTCTGTCGCCCAGGCTGGAGTACAATGGCAGGATCACAGTTCACCGCAGCCTTGACTTTCTGGGCCCTAAGATCAGGTAATCCTCCCACCTCAGCCTCCCGAGTAGCAGGGACTACAGACACCCACCACTATACCTTGGCTAATTTTTTTATCTTTATTTTTTGTAACCAGTCTCAAACTCTAGGCCTCAAGCCATCCTCCCACCTCCACCTCCCAAAGTGCTGAGATTACAGGCATGAGCCACTGTACCTAGTCTAGACACTAATAATGAATAAAACAGTAAAATTAATTTGCTATTCCTATATCTTTTTTTCTTTTTTTGGATGGAGTTTTTCTCTGTCACTCATGCTGGAATGCAGTGGTGTGATCTTGGCTCAATGCAACCTCCGCCTCCCAGTTTCCAGCAATTCTCCTGCCTTAAGCCTCCTGGGTAGCTGGGATTATAGGTGTGCGCCACCACATCTGGCTAATTTTTTTTATTTTTAGTCAGAGATGGGGTTTCACTATGTTGGCCAAGCTTGTCTCGAACTCCTGACCTCAAGTGATCCACCTGCCTTGGCTTCCCAAAATGCGGGGATTACAGACATGAGCCACTGTGCCTGGCTGCTATTCCTATATTCTTAACTTCTTTGTATCCAAATATTATTATTATTTTAGTGTTTAAAAAGCTCCAGGTTAAACACAATTGCATTCTTGATATTATACTTAGTCAGGCGCGGTGGCTCACGTCTGTAATCCCAGCACTTTGGGAGAGTAAGGCGTGTGAATCACAAGGTCAGAAGTTTGAGACCAGCCTGGCCAATATGGTGAAAATACATAATTAGCCGCGTGTGGTAACAGTCCTATAATCCCAGCTACTCAGGGGGCTGAGGCAGAGAAATTGCTTGAACCCAGGAGGTGGAGGTTGTAGTGAGCCAAGATGGTGCCACTGCACTCCAGCCTGGGTGACAGAGTGAGACTCCATCTCAAAAAAAAAAAAAATAATTCTTAAATAAATGTACCTCTGCAATTTAGTACGCTGTTAGAACACAGTAAACCCCGGATTATGATAAATTATTGATACTATTATTTCTACATTTGGCAGTTTTCCTACTTATACAGAAATAGAGATGGAAATATTAAAGAATAGCAAACTGCAGTATCAGGTAAATACATTTTTCATCTACAGAGGTTGATAAAAGCTCAAAAAACAATCGAGATTAAACAAGAAAAGAAAAAAAAGTGCTAAGCAGTACATTTAAAAAGAAAGGATCAAAATAATGTTTGTGTAACTTTCATGACTTTGAAAAAGAAAAATCGAAGTAGTCTTTGATTTTCCTTACCTCTGATCTCAAGATTGCATGAATGGCTTCAATTTCCTTTGTTCTAGAATCAGGTAATTCTGCTACAAGAGAAATATCAAATATTGAATATTTAATCAATACCATATGAAGTGATAAACAGGTATTTTCAGGAAAATATATTTCACTGAGTTTACACAGAATAGTAGGCTGATATGAGAGGATTCAGAAGAAAAAAATTACTTTATATCCATAACAACTTTTCACTGACACTAATGTTCTTCATTGTCATAAAAGTCATTCTTTTTGCCTATGCCCTCTGTCTTAGGATGTCTACCTTTACCCCTTAGAAATGTTCATTAAAATTTTGCTGTGGGAAATTAAGCTTTAGAAATTAAAACTATTTCTCTGTGGGCTTATGCTGCTATAATTTTAGATGAAACTTATTCAACTGGGGCTTCAGGCCTTATTTCTAACTGTAAGAATTAAAGAAAGAGGAGACAAACACAAAGGGTGGCTTGCCAGTTAAGACAGGTTTATTTTAGAGAAAACAAACCTGAGAGGGGCATTTGGCTGAGTTAGGTTAGAGGCACACTCTCTTCCAGACTAAGAGTTTTTAAGGATTTAGGGTGGGAGAGTGTATTAGAGGCTTACACTGCCTCTGTGTTTTTTTGTAGTGCTTATCTGGGAGGGAGAGTTGTGTGTTTGTTCCATTTTTTCTGGAGTTGCAGGCATACTCCCTGAATCTGCTTTAGCTTCCCTATTTTAGTGCACCTGAAGGGAAATGAAAGTGCTTATTAAGGCCCACTGCTTTAGTGGGGCCCATTGTATGAGAGTGAAGTTTGGCAGTTATCCAAGACACTTCCCCCCACCTCCTTTTGTGCCCGAGCACCCCCTCTGTATGTGTTTTACTGTCTGCTTTTTCTGGCTGCTTGTAGTTAGAAGAGAAGTGACTTCCTTGAAATGCATGAGGCTAGAAAGAGAGCTAGAGGTTGGGTGCGGTGGCTCACGCCTGTAATCCCAGCACTTTGGGAGGCCCAAGTGGGCGGATCACATGAGATTGGGAGTTTGAGACCAGCCTGGCCAACAGGTAAAATCTCATCTCTACTGAAAATACAAAAATTAGCCAGGTATGGTGGCGCACGCCTATAATTCTAGCTACTCAGGAGGCTGAGGCAGAAGAATCACTTGAACCTGGGAGGTGGAGGTTGCAGTGAGTCGATGTTGCCCCACTGCACTCCAGCCTGGGCGACAGAGTGAGACTCCGTCTCCAAAAAAAGAAGGGGAGCTGGAACTTAAAAGTGGCAGTATTTGTCTGAGATAACACTGTACCTGCTCTGTCACTAACTTCTGCTCTTAATACTATCAAATAATAAATGACCTCTAAACGAAGAAAAATATACTGAGAACACTTAAAGTAACATAGACGCAATTTATTAAAAATGTGAATGAGCTCAGTCTGGTTTTGTACATTTTCATTTTTTAATTTTCTCGGAGAAAGTCTCACTTCACTCTGCCACCTAGGCTGGAGTATAATGGTGTGATCATGG